ATCAACATACAATACGCTTATATCAAGATAATTGACAGAAGATCGCACATCAAGTTTCTGAAAAGGATGAGATGCGATCGCGACGGGATTCTGCATTGCCGATGCATCGCTGCTCGATATTCACGATTGCTACCGATTCTGCTCTTTCCCTTTTCGCTGGAATCCGTAATTGGGCGGGCATTCCACGTTATGAGTTAATTCCGGCGTGTCGGTGTCGACGGAGATCATATCGACTCGAAGAATCACGAGACGATGGTCTTGGTTTTCTCGACTGGCATTTCGCGTATCTTCTGCAATAAGGTAAAATGAATGGCAATTCAGTTTAACAAGGCGACGCATTTCGTGGATTTTGCTTTAAACTTGCATTACATATCGATATCACATTTAAAATTAAAAATTGCTTCGTTTTTTCTTAATGATTCAGATTATAATACTGTAGACATCAAATAATAATATCGGATCTAAATGATACAATATATCTTATATTAATTATAAAAACATAATTAATGCGATTCATTATTATGTTATTAAAATGAAATAAATTAAAATCTAAATACATATTTAGATTTTAATTTATGTATATAATTTAATTTATTTGCATACGCAAATATAATGATTAATACACAAATGATATGTAATTAATAATCGAATATCTCCAAATATCCAAATTTCTTGACTGAATTCATAAGAAAAATCTTAATATTAAAAATAATTTATCAAGTTATTTCTTTAAGAATTAAAATGTATTTGGATAGAATGGGGAAATAGAGGGGTAGTATACATCTTAGTCTTGTAAAAACCGGATGCTCGCGCAAGCTAGAAACAATGGCCTACCAGGGCGGTGGCGATCTTCTATTTTTAAAAGGGGTGAAATTCCGCGTTGTGTGCATTGTCCGTTTAATGATGGAGTGGAGTCTTGACAGGTGAAACCCAATACACATATTCACATATATATACGCACACACGTATCACGTGGAACTGCACTGGATACCGTCGTACACCTATCACAGTCAGACAAGCGTGAGCCCGAATTGTGAGATCCACCGATGGGCGTTTGCTCCCAAGACCTTCGACGTTGACGATACCCCTTTCATGCTGGCGAGCTGATCTTCTCGTACGTCTCATTGGCGATCGGTGCCACCCACATCTCACGAAATTATCAAACAGAACTTGCAATTCGATATCCCTAAACAAGGGTTGTGTACGAATTTAGTGAAATGATTGAAAGAAGTTTAGAATGCTTATATAGAACGGATCTTGAAACTACCAATTTTAATTCTAAAGAATTGTGAGAATCTTTTTGAAAAATATCAAGGAAATTATCGGTTATTGCACTTTTTCATTGCGTGATATTAAATATTAAATTAAATATGGGTTAAAAAGATACTATAATAAAATAAATAAATTAAATTTGATTAAATAAATCCCCTAATTTTAATTAGGTTAATAAGTTTTTAATTATTATGTAATTATTCAAAATATAATAAATTCAGGACGCTATTGAAATACTTTTGTCAGTTCTAGCGATTGCGCATGATGATTTCTCATTTTTTGAAAGAGAAATTAAAGAAGTATTACAAGAATTGCATGCTATTATAACTAATTGACATATCAACCTCCTTTCTGCTACGTAATGTGTGCCTAATAAATTACTATGTCTAAAGTTAAATTATGCTTTCTATTCATTTTATTTACTTGATGCTTGGATAACGATGCATACAGATTCGAACATCTTGTGAATGAATAAAGAGTTTTTCGATTTATTTAGCTTGTTCGTGAGTGAATATTGTACATACACATGCATATACATATACATACATACCCAGACCTATTCACGAATTAATAGACTTAGATTAGTTCTAGTCAAATGATTCATGAAAGATATATTTGTTAAGAGATTACTTAAAAGTTTTTCTATAACTACTTTCTATAATTATAAGTTAATAAGAAAAATACTTTAACATAATAAGTTCTAAATAATCGGTATTTATTATATATTATCCCGTAATCATATATATCGTATACTGATTCGATAAACAGTAATTATGTATCAAATATTTTTTATTAATATATTTATTAATTATGTTAATAAATAATATGCACTAAAAATACATATTATATTGTGTATAGAAATTGTTCAAACGATAGATTAATTTTATCAAAACGATTCTTGTGGAACTCTTTTATCGAATCAAGTCTTAAGAGATTAGACACACGTACTCTCACATTTGGAACGGTATCATTAATTAACATATCTCAAGACTGCGGTGTAAGTAGGTTCTAAATTATCTTATTCAGCAGCTGAAAGCGTAATCCGATTTGTTTCCCCGAGCGATCTGATTGTGCGCGACCTTCTTCAACTTTCCTCACCTATCCCTTTCCCTTGCCGACGTTGCCTCTTATCTCCCGGCATGCTCCTTTGCTCGTTTGAGACTCCATGTGATCCGGGAAGATTCTTGCTGATTTTTTTTATTCCCACTCGCTTACTCGCGCGCATATGCGCGCCGGGCGCGCCTCTTCTTATTTCGCGATCAGTGATTTACGTCGCGAACTACACCGCTACGGTAATAGTCCATTAATTGATCTTGGATTCCCCTCCGTGTGCCCTCAGATACGCGGGAGACGGGTTTCGTGAACGCCATCACTGCCGCTGGAGTTACTTATGCGGTTACCAGAGCCTGCACTATGGGTGACCTCGTGGAATGCTCCTGCGATAAGATGACGTCGAAGGGTAAAAGCTTATTCCTTTAGTCTTTCTTTGTGATTTAATCCCCGCGTATCGATTTCTCATTAATTTCCCATTGGGATCTATAGGTAATTTATCTATAGGCTTTTAAAAGCTTATCTCAATACTAAAATTATCATTATCTTTCTCGTATAAATTAAAATACTTTTATATTTTTATTTCAAAAAATTATAGTGTCACTCTTAGTAAGTTCTTCAAAAGTGTTTTTTATTAAGGCTATATTTATGAGGTTATTTGTGCGAAATTACGGATTATATTATACTTTTTGTGATTATGTTTTAAAAATAAAAGAAAATGGCAACTTCCACAGGTAATCGTCTGGCTAAATTTGCGCGTACGGTCGAAGCGAAGAAAAGTTTGCCGACAGAAGGAGACTGGGAATGGGGAGGGTGCGGTGATAATGTAAACTTCGGCTTTAAAAAGTCTCGGGAATTCATGGATGCACCGTATCGTAAAAGAAGTGATATTAAAACGTTGGTGAAGCTTCATAACAATGACGCTGGTCGTCTGGTAAGTCACTTTCATTTATTTTCTGTTCATTTACATCAATAATAAAGATTCATATGATCAACATTTCTTTTTTTATTATGTATGAGCTTCCTCCGTAAGCTGAAATTCTCGTATATCGTTAAAGTTTTTAAAGTTGTCAGAACCTGTTACAAAGATAAAACCTGTACGTCGGTCGACTATTTTTTTTTTTTTTTATTATATATGGACTTGAAATTTCCACATATCATATCGTTAGGATTTTAAAATCGCCAAATCCTGTTACAAAGATAAAATGTATCCGACGGCACCTTTTTACATTCACCCGTCAGGCCGTTCGCAACTTCATGAGGACCGAATGCAAGTGCCACGGATTGTCCGGCTCCTGCACGGTGCGCACTTGTTGGCGTAAGATGCCGCCATTTCGGGAGGTCGGCAACCGCCTTAAGGAGTCCTTCGACGGCGCGGCCAAAGTCATTCCCAGCAACGACGGCCACAACTTCATCACCGAGGGTCCTACGATCAAGCCGCCCGGTAGATTCGACCTGATCTACAGCGAGGACTCGCCGGACTTTTGCAAACCGAATCGAAAAACCGGCTCCCTAGGGACGACAGGTCGTCAGTGTAACGCGACCAGTCCCGGGGTCGAGGGCTGTGAGCTCCTCTGCTGCGGCAGAGGCTACGACACTAGAATCGTCAAGGAGAAGGTCAACTGTCAGTGTAGGTTCCGGTGGTGTTGCGAGGTCACGTGCAATATGTGTCTCGTCAAGAAGACCATCAACACTTGCCGCTAGTGTCGACGTAAGTGAATAAAAACTTGTACCGTATATATGACAGTGTCGAGAATTGAGTTGGTGCGATAGCTTGTCTTGCATGTGTTAGCGGTTTGGAGGGGGAGATAATAGAGGAATGATTTATATTCTTTGCGTAAATCCCATACCGTGTGCCATAAGACCGGAAGACTATAATTGAAGAGTTTTGTGAAGCTTCGAGATTTCTGCCGCAGGACTTAAAACGCATTCTTACTTAATAATGAACTAGACATACAATCAAGTTTTAGCTTTTCTGTTTTTTATTAGCGAATATTAGCCTATATTAATATGAATTGTGTTTCTGAAATTATTCAACGATTATTCAGTCCGTTTGATTGGAACTTCTCGACTTCTATCGTTGCTATCACCATCGACGGTTGATCCAACTCTTGATTCTTTTCTCTCGATACGATCGTGATAACGCATTACGTAATAGCATTTGTAATATATCTGTTTCTAGAATACGTGATCTTTGAGCGTGAATATTCATTAAAGAATGTTCAGATGATATGTGATTTACAATTTATCGTGACTACACAGGTCTGGATTAAATCTAGGTTAGCGAGAGAGCATCTCTCTCTCTACATACTTATGTAGCATCTCTAAAAAGATTATCTCGACGTATAAACGCGAGAATCGAGATTGAGGACATCAGTAGTGCATGTGCGAGCCAAGTCAGACGTCAGTCGCGAATGCAGCTAGCCGCGAAATAGTACATATTTTTATTTGTATACCTATAAATTGCCGATGGTTGCAAAGTTAGATATTTCATATGCAAAATATGTATTTTGACACAGAGCTTGGCCATTATCAACGCTGGTAGTATAGATTTTATATGTGAAGATTTTTAGATTGTTATAATTAGAGCTGTTTCTAGATTTTTATTGTCTTCTAGGCTTTTGTTATGTGCGATATGAGACTGCTCCTTTAGTTAGTAATAAGATAATAAGAATGATAATTTACGATAACATATAAAAATGTTTTTTCTAAACTTAGCAATAATGAAAAGTCGTCTAAATAATCTTTGAGATTTAATAACAAGAAAAATGTAATAATATAAATGTGTTTATGGAATTTTTTGAATATTTGACATAAAATGCATCTGACAAAGCCTAGTGAATTTTCTGCTTCGTAAAATCGATATATAGTTGTTATTAGCATCGCTAACGCTGCGCGAGGCGATCATGTTTCATTCGAGCTTTCCACGTATCTCCAGTGCTCGTAATACATATTAAGATACACATAAGATATAGTAAAATGAATTTATATAAAATATATTCGTCAAAGAACATCGTAATACGCCGGGATTCGTATAGCAATGCTCGGTGAATCGCTTTTCTTCTTGTATTTTCGCGACCTCGAGCGAAGTTCCGATGAATTTGATATGAATGTCATCGGAAATATTTTAATGTTACAATGTTTATTTTGACGTTGGATCGAATTTTTATGCGAACTTTTCTATCGATTTGAAAGGAAATCCGGGACTTCGCTTTCGTTTTTCGCGCGTGTATATAATTATACTGCTTTTTCTTCGCGTGACATTAGCTTTGTGCCATACGTTACGATTCGATCGATATTTTCCATGTGTCTATCGAAAACGAGATGCACGCAAGATTCTTTCGTTTTTTCAAATAATTTTATCGATTTTTAAAACTCGTTACAGAGCTTACTTTTATCATTTGTATATATAAGACTGATATATTAAAATTTTATATTAAAATATATATTAAAACGGTTTTACGCAATCTATGTTAGGTACGGATAAAATTATACTCACAGACGAATCTCCTTTGTTATTATTAAGATTTATCAATTTATCAGCAGTGACGATTTATCCTAGGATGAATATACAAAAGGAAAAAATATATGAACAATTATACTTCAAATTCCAGTTTACCTGATCCAACTTTATTTTATTAAATGAATTATTCTCCTCTATATTACTAGCTTGCAGGTAAGTCAGTATTCTATTTAAGAGAGTTTTTATGATACATATAAATTATACACACGCATACATGCATATAATATATCATATGTGCAAAATATATATCATTGCACATATCGAAATTTTTACTCGTTAAATATTTGACTGAAATATTGCAGGCAATTTTTTTAAAGAATTAAGATAAAGATTCATGTTATAAAATTTATTCTGTTTGCACGTTGGTTCCATTATTGCCCCGAGATTGAGCGCGTCAATAGTCCACAGTCCACATTGTTGATGTTAGATATTTACTTAGTTTGCTTTTCCCTCTTATTCTAATGATAACTATTATTTGGATAGGATACTTCAATATCTTTCGTCAAACTTAGAATGAAAAAAAAGTGCTAAAAGGTTAATCTCAAAAGATGCCTGACACGTTCTTGGTGGACGAGGAATTTTTTGTCCTTTCGTTCTCACGTGCCTAGAGACGTGATAATAGGGATAAATTAAGGAAACACCAAGAATTGGGAGGGCTCGTATATCAAGGCGCCGTGTAGAACACGGGCTTTTACCTGTAATTCAGGTTTATACACGACAGTCGCACGGGCAGTAAAAAGGACTACTGCCATTTTTTGTAAAATAGTTTTACGGCCACCATCAAGAGGAATTTCGCATAACCATAAAGGTTGCTGAATATCATGTGCACTCATCGCCTCTTGGCGATAGCGGAAGTTATAAAAAAGTTTTTCTCTTCCTTTTCCTTCTTTTATTTCTTGTTTTTCATCCTATTGACGCAACAATTTTTTTTTTTAATTGTAAGTTCTTGAAAATTAATGGACTTGCATTCATATTTTTTTATATTTTCTCATATTCATAAATTTATAAACGTCAAAGAAAGTTTAGCTTTGTGAATAATATTGAGATTATTAAATTAACAAATGTTAATCCGAATATTAATCCAAAATAATTAATCCAAAATAATTAATTCTCTTCTGATAAAATGTAAAATGGGGTTTTAGCGAGAAACGGATTCTCATTTTTGAGAGAATATGTTTTATTTATTTTCTATTTTATTCGTCTCAAATCAAATTTTATATATATTATGTATATAATTAGAAATGAAGATTTTATTATTATATTTGTTTATCACAAGACATACTATTATAAATATAAAATAATTAAAAAGTATAAATATAATAATAAATAATAGCGACTCTCAAAATTTTTTAAATTGCAATTTAACTGAGGACATTTACAGAAAGTTTTCCGCATAACGTCACGAACGTACGAGATTACTTGATCAACGGCGATTTACTACCAACGGTTCCATATATTCTCACACAAATCACCCTTCGCCTTCCTCAAAAAAACTCTCTTTAAAGAAAAGACTGTTAGAAAGGCTTATACACCCTCCAATTTAATACGTGATGCGGCACGGCGCGGCGTGCGAGCGCGTCCGGATAAAAGTCTCTTAATAGAGAGGTCGACCTTTCGGAGGTACGAAAGTGGTGAGGCGCAATTAGCCCCACCAAGAGGGACTGTCTGGACTCGATTAGTCCATGGCCAGGAGATTGGTCTGCCGCGGGACGACTGGGTGGTCCGAGCGGGGTAATTTTCGGCTGCCGTCGACGTTCCCCTTCGGGGGAAAAATGGCCCCTCGAAATTGGCCCTGGAGTTACCGTATGCCGTCGATCCACGACGCCATTTTTAGAATCTCCACCTTGCCCTCACTTCATCTCTCCTTTCGTTCCCTTCTCCCATATTTCCGATCTTCATCTTCCCGAGGCCGAGAACGGAGACTCTTCTCGAGAGAGGAGAGACTTCCCGGTAATTCAATTTTGGGGAAAAAAAATGTGGTACACCGGTTATTACGCGCTGATGAAAACATTGGATCATCAGGAACGGTGTGAGAATGCGGTTTCAATCTTGGTTTTACCGTCGACCATCAGTCCGTAAACGAAATGAAGTGATATAATTTTATATAAATATAGCCGGGGAGGAACTGAGAGAATAGCGAGTAATTACATAGAGAAGAGACGTTGACATACGAAAATTATTTTATCCTTTCAAAACACGTATATATTATTTTTACATTAGGCTTATTGCTTTTAAATTAAAATTGGGATAGCGATACGTTTAAAATTACATTAAAATTTGGTTTTAATTAAGTATAATCCAACAGTTCGTTGTCTTCCGCGAGATATAACCGTTTTGCCCGACGTGATGTAGGCAGAGAAAATAAATATATTACGGTGAAGTTATAGCTCTTAAGTAAACCGACCTCGAGACTGCACTTCAGCCGGAGTGCGGAGGATGGGCTATGGATGGTGAAATGCGCATGCGAGGATCCGCATGCGGGTTTTACGTACGACCGGGAACTCTCCCACGGCGCACGACTGTCCGACACCGTTCCCGGAACGATTAGGCGCGGAACAATGGAGTCCGCGGAACGCACGTGGGTCGTGACGCGCGACAAAACCGCAAAATGCGACCGTGATTAATCGGCCCTGGCCGCCCTCTTCGGCCGCGCAAGAACACGTCGTACCACGGGAACGCGCCGTGACTCTATTTCTTCCCCCCCCCCCCCGGACCCTCATACCTTCGCTCGCGCAATCCTCCCGCGAGCGCGCGCTTAATGCGCGAGCACTCGCCCGTTCCACGACTCGTGGAAGTCGATGATAAATTTCCACGACAACGAGCGTCCGTTTGTACCCTTCCTCGTGTGTCACGGGGGTCTAGGTGCGCCAACCTCCACCGTATTTTTCGCGAACGCTCGTATACTGGATGTGACATGGAAGGAACGTGTTTGAGACTTACGACGCAGAACTTGTACGCGGTGATTACATGGTTTAAAGCTGTGAAATACTTTTCACGTTTGCATACACAAATATTTATTTTAGTTCTTAAGTTTAATTTCGATGAATGTGGAACTAAAATACGTGTAAAAATATCATGATGATATTTTTGTAGCAGAATGCTTTAAATTCGTTAATATTTTAAGATACGTGCTTGTTTTATTAATATTTCAGTTTATCAATTCATTTTTATAAAAAGAGAAATATTTAATAAAATTTAGAATTGTATGTGTAGATTTTATATGAAACTTATTGTTATTTTTTTATAATAAATTTCAGATGTTTCATTGAGATGATTTAAAAATAATCTACATCGTATTAATAATATTAAGAAAAGAGGAACTATTCTTATATTTTAAAGAGCTTTCTTTTAATGTATCAAAAAATATAATGACACACTTTTACGAACGAGATACATTTTAAGAATTCAAGAATAATAACGAGTTCGGCGTTTTAGAATAAAATTAGAATTAAGGAAGTTTTTATTAAAGAATTTCCATATTTCAAGCCAAACTGAAAAAGCATGTATATTCGCGCGCGAACATTCCCGCGCGATCGATTAAGTGACATGCTCGCGCGTAGCAAACAGGATACCCTCGTCCTCTACGAGGATCCGATAAGAATACCATCGAGCGTGTACCGTCGCGACACAGCAAATGACCATCAGGCCTCAGGACTAATATACCTGGGTCCAAGGTGCCCGGGCGCCCGTTGCGAGCTCACACACGCGTACCGCATACACGCGAACAAATCGAATCGGATGCAACGGACACGCCGCGCACACGGGGATTACACGTGCAAGTCGCAAGCTGCAAGTGTACAGGAGCAAGACACCGAGGCGCCGGAGGTGGTCGTCGGCCGTTTCGAGCCGGGCGCGCTGCTCCGACGCCAATATTAATTAAACGATCCCATAAGCGCCTAACAAACTGGTCGTACGTTAGGCGGTTTATTGGGGTCCCCGAGCGAGACGTTAAAATGTTCCAATCTTAATTAGGTAGGTGTTTACAGGAGGATAATTCCATGGGCCTTAAGCCGCTGCGCCGTTTTCTGCCGGACGCGGGCCACCGGGCGCGACGCGACGCGACGCGACGCGACGCGACGCGCGGGGCCTCTTCCTCGCGACGAGGGTCTCCCGCGCCTTCCTGAACCCACTAGTCCAGGGTCTCCCTTCATTTCGTCACGTCGTCGGTTCCACTCCGATACGATATTACGGTGTCCTTTGCCGCTGCGCCTCTTCGTTTTTGCTCTCCCCGGGGGGATGATCTTTCGATGTCCACCTCGCGTCTTTCCTCTACTTCGCGCTTCTCGCATCTCTTTCTCTCTTCCTCTTTTTTTCCCTCCAGTTTCTTCGAGGAGTGCCAGGAGCACACCTCGAAGGACGCGAGGCACCGATTACGATGGTAGGTGGAGGAGGTCATTGAAATCTTTATAGTTTCTTCAGCTTCTCGGAATTTCGACGCCACCGATATACACTGATCTTGCGTAATTATCTGCCTGTAATTTTTTTTCTCGCTGCTTCCTCTATCTTCGGGCGAATCTGCGAAAGAGAAAGAGACGAGTGACGCGGCGAAGGAGCAGGCACAGCCTATTCGACAGGGAGTAATTTTCCTTTACCGTACGAGGCGATAAGATTTTTCGGCGAAGAGAATTTGCAAATTAAGGGGCAATGCGCGCTTTATATATATATATACACACACATTTCTCTACGTCACAGTAATTGAGAGAGGAAACGTATGGTCAAATCTGATAGTCTTGAAATACAGGATTGCCAGAAATGCGGATAAATGAGTCTTACCCGATCGGGAATATCGTGCGATTTCGTTTTACGTCATTACCAGGTATCGCGAAGTGATATACAGATCCGATGTATTATTTTGAAATCATCCGTTAGCGATGTTCCTCTCTCCTGCGAGAGACTCTACCTCTGAATAAGAATCTTGTATGCAGCTATGCCGCGCCGCAGCGCTGCGTAAACAGCAATTTACGCTCGTTAGAGTAGCGTTTAGGAGCACTTAGCGCTTCCTCCGGGCGACCTTCCGCGTTCTCCAGACAGATTAGGCTAATTCTCGTACTAGGACGGTGCACCCGCAACTGCGGAAGCGCAAAGAGTG